AGCTTGCCTTTATTATTAAGAGTAAGGTTTGATTGACCTAGTAATAACAGTAATAATAGTCAGCATCATTAAAAATTGCCATCCCTAGAACTCAAGGAACTAAAAATACTTCAACTCCCCCCACTTCCATTCGCTCACAATGAAAATAAAACTTTATTTTTATTAAAAAGAAAGTAAAATAAACATCAAGTCCAGTCATATAATTCAATTATAAAATTCATGTCTCGTAATTTCATCCTCGTCTCTTCTTTTGAACACTACAGAGAAGACTGAAATAAAATAATAAATGTTAAATGTTGAGCATAGATTGATTTTTTTTTCTGCCCTTTTCTCGCTCGCTATTTTTTTAGATTTTTTATTTTTCCACAACAATAAAATGAATTTTTTTCTCATCGGAATTGAAATGGAATTGGGCAACACGAATGGAAGAAGGTTCTTTGTGGTGATTTTGTAAGAATTTTAACGGCTAATAGACCAAGGATGAATCTATAAAAGTGAAAAGGTGGATATTTTTGACTTATGGATATGAAATTTGGGTATAAATTGAAAGGCATCCCATAATGTTGATTTCCCGTTGTGTTTGTATATCCGTTTCAGCATTAGGCGAATCTGCTAAAATGATCTTAGCTGCTTTGTGACCGAGAAGTTAGGCTTCAGATTAGAGATATGAAAATTCATTTATGAGAAGTCTTGGGTTCGAATCCCACCAGAGACTTGATTAATTAATCTGTCTATCGTATGTTGCTGACATTATAAGTCAACCCTCTTGACTCTTGGATTAGGCAAATAGAGAGTAATAGCTAATATGAGTAATAGCTACACAAGATTTTTATAGATTGTTCTAGAAAACTTTCGATTTCTAGATACTTGAATCAATTTTGATGAGATTATTAGATTATGTTCAAGTTTATCTGCATCTCGGTTCTCATCCTGCTTTGATTAAATCTCCTATAAAGCACATAAATTTCCCAAACTTTAATCACAAGGAAAAGCAACAAAAGCGTTAGAATCGACAACAGAGAAAAAAAGAGAAACATCAGCTTGTAGTCGGTTAATTTTTATTATTGTGCACACATAAAGGCAGCTGATAAATTGAATGGCAATTTTACAATGTTACTTAAATGGACCTATAATCTGCAATGTGTTGTAATTTCGTTCCATTTCCATTTTTAATGTTGAAGTGACTGAATAGAGAGAAAAATGTGATTCAATTTTTTTCCGTTTCCAATAGCATTAAAACTTCATCGTCACTGCAGTTGTGATCTGAATGACAAATTTGATTTCTTTTTATTTTTTATCATGGCGTAGAGAGAGAGGAGGAGGGGGTGAGGCAAAGAATAAATAAAATGAGAGACGAAAATTAATGGTGCCTCGAATGTTAAAAATACGAAACAGCTGAAATAACAATTTTTTATTATCGCAAATTGAATGTGCTGCTGTGCCTGCCTGATTTCGTAGAAGAGCGAGAAAAAAATTTATTTTGAGGCTTTTTTTCAAGCTTGTGTTGTTCCTGATGATGTGTTTTTCAAATTTTCAATGATTTCTGCTTTCGTCTACTTCTTCTTCTTCCGCCTTGCTGATTTTATTATTCTAACATACATTTCGAACATATCACATTTATATACAGCTACCTACGTAAATATTTACTGAATGTTTTCTAAAATTTATTTACAGATACATCCCCAAAGCTGACAGAACCAGCCTTTCATCGATATGGAACCTTTTCTCGGTTTTGTTTGCAAAAATTTATATATTTTTGTTGTTGTGTTAACAAAAATAAATCCTAATTAATTAAAGGATAAATTACACTAATTAATTTAGTGTCCATACCTAGCTACGAATGACTGTTTTGTCGTTTAAGCTTATGGGTAATTTATTTTGAATGTTGAGCTTCTTGGTAAATGTTTTCGTTGGCTTTGACTTTGCTTTTTGATGTTAAAATTTTCTGTGATGGAAAATTAGAATTTAATCAGCTCCTGACCTTACAATTAAGTTAATACCTCCTTTTTGTGAATTATCATGAATATCTGGTATGGTGATATACATCACTAGCAGGTTGACTAGCTTTATCTTACAATTAAGTTTTACACAAGTCAGTAACTCAATATGATTCTCAAAACAGCCACGTTTAAGAATTTTATCCAAATTTCCACAATCGCAACTCTGAATTCATCTCAAAACATACACAAATCTTTAAAATCTGCAAAATCAAATCCACAGGACATAAATTCAAATGCTTTATCCATCAAATTCAAATTCATCACGAATCACAAAATAACAATGCAAATCAATCAAATTAGAACAATGATGAAAGCTTGCCATCAATAAAATTTCAAATCACAAAATCTCCCCATGTACCCAAATCATTATAAACAATACCGCACATACAGCTCAGAATAATGTTAGATCATATCGCAAAAATATAAGTTTTAAACTGGATTAAAGCATTTTTATCGACATTTTCAACTAGATTAACCACGATTTTGAATTTTCAAAAAACATATTGACCAGATATAAACACATGCAGCATAGAGCCGCACCATATGAATCGATGTTTGGCATAAAAGTGTAATATTTAAATTTGAATCGATTGAAACACAAAAAAGTATTTAAAACAAATCAAAAAACACTATTTTCAAATGTGGTTTATGTACATACACGGATGCAGACATGAAGAGTATAAAAACAAGCAAAAATCGAGAAATTTTTGGGGTGAGTGAAAAAAATTTTCATACACATTGATCAATTGAACATACAATGGATTGTGTAGTTTGATAAACATTGATTCTAAATCCACTCAATTTCGATAACAAATCAAACAAACATAAAATAGCATACAACATTGCACAAACTAACTCAAAAGCCTCAAAAAACAAATCATGAAATAAAAAAAAATATTTTTTACTCGACTCTACAAAAATTTTCAAATATATTCGAAAATGTTTTTGAGGTTTTTGTCAAGGGGGGATAACGCTATGATGGGGAAAGTAACTCAAAGAGGAAAAACAACTTGGAAGGGACTGCAACTTGATAGGGGCCATAATTTGACGGAAACAGCAACTTGATGAAGGAAATCTCTTTATAGACGAAAACAACTTGAAGGGGAAAAAAATTTGAAGGGGAGATCAACTTGAAAGAGAACGCAACTCAAAGATGAAAACAGTTTTAAGGGGAAATCAACTTGATGACAGAATACAACTTTTCAAGGAAACAAAAGTCGAAGGGATGACAAATTTGAGGGCAAAAAACATACTACTGGAGATAGATTCCGTGTAAAATTTTCCATCATATTGTTATCCCCCTGAATTTTGTTTGGCTCTCAATTCATGTATTTTAAGTATTTTTCATGTTTGTCAGTTCAATGGAAATAATATTTGGATATGTGAGAAGGTGTAAGCATAAAACTTTTGCATGACCAACATAACCAAACTTTTTTTTTGTATGTACAGTAAAAACATAAATTTTTATTTTCATTTCAAACATATGATGATGATTTTTGGCTTCATCAATTATTCAAATGCATGTGTTTCAACTGTAACTTTCGATGCTTTTTTTTTGGTATGAGTTGGAATAGAGGATAAATATGCCAATGATGCATGTGATGTTTTTTGCTCGTAATTGATATTGCAAAAATTTTTCATGTGTGGTTATGGCTATAAAGTTATAGGTTGAATCAAATTTTCTGAATCAAATATTCATAGATTACTTTTATGGAATTTTCTCGTTGAGTTTTGATGTTGCTAATTGATCAAAAGGGTATTGAATTTTATATGGAGATGCAGGACATTGTAAAGTTGTTTTGAATAAATTTTCAAATGTTTGACCAATTGTGTAGCTTTTTAATATATTAACTTGTATATGGCTTAAAGTTTACTAAACTTATGTGAGTTACCTTACTTTAACAACAATTTTACCTTTTTTTAATCAACGCATCGCACAAAAATTTGTTTTTCAATGTTTACGGTCTAGATAACAAATATTATGATATCATTCCGAACAAGTTCGAAGTATTTTAGATACTTATCAAATCTAAAAATAGAATGAGTAAGTTTGCCGAAAAAACTTACATTTTCGCTTCTCTTGAAAAATTAATCAGTGTTTAGTAATGAACTTGAATCGTGTTTCAAGAGTGAAAAATTAGTTTTATTAAAATAAAAACAATTTACATATTATTGAATCATTGTGATTTTAAATTAGTTATCAAATTACATTACTATTTTGTTTCAAAGGTGAAATTTATTGCAAAAAGAAAATGTGAGTGAATTTTTTAAGGATCAAAGGTCAATCTTAAAGTTATTTTTGAAAATGAATTTCACTTTGAATAAGAAAATCTTTAGAAAAAAAGCAATAAATGAGTGCTGTTAAAGAATTTGTTGAGATTTCTTGAGTATTTAAAATAGTTTTTGAAAATCAAAAATTAACAAATTAAACTTAAATTTCAATCGAATTTTTTCGACTCGGAATCTACTTGAAAAATATATGTTCATACCTCAAAACAGTGAGACCAGTGGCCAAAGAGAAAAGGCTTAGGATTCTGATGATTCCACAATTTTCTTTGAAAACTACTTTTTTGAACTTTTAAATGCAAAAACAATCACAAATTTTTAAAGTTAAATTTTCATTCCACCACCTTTACAAATTCCTTGCATAGCCCATGCTTCAAATTTTTAAAAATTTCAAAAAAATATTTAAATAACTTCTTATAAGTGGATTTCGATATCTACGAATTGCATATGTTTTTGGAGTTTGTAATCATTATTTTTTTAAATCATTTCTTATCTAATATCTTAGTTGCGGTCTTCAAAGTTGTTTCGTTATTCAACTTAAATTTTTGTGCGATTAGTGTTTTTCGCATTTATTATTTTTCTATTCACACTGGATTTTATCACATTATTTTTTATCTTTTCAATTCTAGTCTTTGCTGAAAGTTAATATTTTGCTTGAAAGATAGTTAAAATTAGTAAATCAACAATACACTTTTAAAATAATCATAACCAAAAATGTATATCGAATCTTCAAAATCCAGTATTAGTTCTAGTGATGATTATTATTCCTGTACAGACCAGCCATCGCTTACAAACACAATAATTAATGAAACTGACCATAAATTTATAATCAAATGTTCAAAAGAAAATAATATTAATATTGTTAACAAAGAGACAAAGAGGATGAGTAAAATTTTTAAATTTTCATATGAATGGAGTTTTGATGAAGTTATTCAGATGCTTAAAAATTTAAATTACACGGAATATCCACAGTTATATATTTTCATAATAGAAACTGAAAATATTCGGATTTGTTCAACGAAAAAAAATAAAAGACACAAAAAACTGGAAAATGTTGAAAAATTAAAAAAAATATTGCTAGAGTTCAATAAGAATCGTCCATTACTTCTTCAGTTGACATCGAAAGATGAAAATGTAACCAAATTTTATTACAAAGATGAAAAATCGACTAAATTTTATGCAATCGACGAGAGTCAGAGAAATTTTGAAAGAAATTTAAATTTCTCATCATTTTTTTGTTCATTTTTGGATGGAAAATTTGAAAAGCTTGCCGATCAATTACGTTCAAATCTTTCAAATGTTAAAAATACTTCTTTAATTATGCGACTTTTAAGAACTTTGAAAACAGATGATGAGGACATTGCATTGTTGATTTTAAAAATAGCAGAATGTGGATCAAAAAAAGAATTGTTATCAATATTAGATGCTCCATTTTGTGAAGAAGGAAGAACACTTAATGAAGAATCGCAAAATTACATATATTTTGAATTTTCTTATGGCTCTTCAGAAGATAATTCATCAGATTGTCAAGAAAAGATTTAGATGCAGCATCAAATGACAGAAGTTCAATCACTTCTGTTCTGTTGATTGCAGTAGAAAATCAAAATGAAGAAATTATTGACTATTTGATAACTTATTGGTCTCATTTGATAAAACAACTTCCATTTCAACATCAAGTTCGAATTTCTGAAGCAGCTCTTGAGACAAATCAAATGGATATTCTTTGTGATTTATTGGAAATTTCAGACTTTCCATTTCCCACAGTTCATTCAAGGTTTTGTAAGATAATAAGTAATAGAATTAAATTAAAAAATGCTATCGAGGAAGAAAACTTTTCAATTATTGATGAAATTGTAAACAATAATTTGAATCTTAAATTCAACTACTGCCCAGATAATAAATCAGCGTTAACTCAAGCAAAAGAACTTAAAAAATCAAAAGTTTTCTTTCATCTAAAATCAAAAGGATTTGAAGGAGAAACTTGTGAAGATATTTACATTGATCTATGCAAAACTGACGTCACTAAAACTCTAAAGCAAGCTGCTGAGCAAAGAACGATTAATGTTAAAGAGTCAATACCAAATACTCATTCTTCAATCATGATATTGTCAGCGAAATCAAAAATACACAACAGCAGGATAGAAAAGCATCAAGAAGTTGAATACAGACAGAAGATAATAAAATGGTTTGAAGATATTTATAAAATTTCTCCTGAATTGCTTGATGTTGCCGCTTCCTGTGAATTTTTGAAAATAATTTTCGACTTTGAAACTGTTACGGTAAGTTTAAAATTCATAACTATACAGAAATACAAAAATTAAGAATCTGAACTGATGAATCGGATTTTAATCATTTTGATCAGTTCCACAGCCCTGATAGAATAGAGTTATCTCATTGTGGTGCCTGAGCAAAATGGAATTTAGAATATCGATTCATATATAAGCAAATCTGTGCGAGAGTTAAGCCTCTGTGCCGCGAGTGGTTAAGCACACACTGAATATCAGTGACACTATTTTGCAAAGACATGGGTTTGATTCCCACCAAAGATATCAATTCTTTAGTAACCATAATCGTCCATAAGTATTCCCAAAGAAGGTCGATGTAATGAATATGGACGATTTTGATTACTTTAGTCATTATATAGGTGTTGTCGATATGACAATGATTCGCACAAAGCTCACGACATTACAATCATAGACATAAAAAGATAAATATCCACTTCTGTCAATTTTGTTAAATAATTTTTATATTCACACCGTTTTCACGTGTGAATCTATTGGTTTTGTTCAGATTGAAAAATCAGTTTTTCGCATTTTGTGAGAAAACAAAGCAAAATTGGTTATAAAAGGGCAAGAAGAAAAGTTTGTGCCTGAAATTTTACATCATTTTCAAAAAACAGATTTCAAATTGGTTGTGGCATTGCTGAGAAAATCGCAAAATACGCTTTCTGTAAGCAAACAAGCAAGCAAGCAAGCAAGTTAATCAGCAAGAAATCTCAATAACGAGACATCGTAGAGACTTCTAGTTTTTTACATTTGATCCGTGCTGCTCTATAGAAGAGCTGTATTGTTTTTGGGCAAGGTACGAACAGCCGTTGCTTCAGAAATGGCAAAAAACTTTCCTTTTTTACGAATTTTTTAAAACAAAAGTTGACTGTGATTTTTATAAAATTCAACTTTGGATGAAAATTTTTTTTAAAAAACTTTTAAAGAATATTTGGCATATTCGTCAAGCTTTACACCTTCAAACTTATGCTGAGCGAAGCTCAGCTGACTCGATAGCTTTATATCTTCTGCCTCTCTAGCTTCATATCTTCAAACTTATGCTGAGCGTAGCTCAGCTGACACTCTAGCTTTATATCTTCAAACTTATGCTGAGCGTAGCTCAGTTTACGCGATAGCTTTATAACTTCAAACTTATGCTGAGCGAAGCTCAGCTTCCTTTTCTAGCTTCATATCTTCAAACTTATGCTGAGCGTAGCTCAGCTTACGCGATAGCTTTATAACTTCAAACTTATGCTGAGCGAAGCTTAGTTGACTTATCAAGCTTCATACCTTCATACTTATGATGGGCAAATCTTGGTCTATCCATAAGACTTATGATAGTACGGTGTGAATATAATCCGCATTGGGTTTCTACCCGATACATTAGTTTTTTAATTTTCTTCACCAGGTTGAAAATGTTAGCTTAGCACAACCAAATGCATCTGGATCAACATATATTGTAAGTAAATGGATTTTTATTGGTGCAAAATTGTCTGATTTCAATCGTGATCAAGCTATTAAAGGTGTTATTGCTCATGAGTTGTGCCATTATGTTATGAGTTTGGTTTTTGAGAACCATGAAAATCCATACCATAAATATTCAATGGATAGAAAAGAAGATTTTGAAAAAATTATCAGTTTAATTGACAATTGGTCAGAAACGAAGAATAAACAGCCAGATGATGAGTGTTTTGGAATCATTTCGTCAGTTTTCTTACAATATGCTTCAAAGGATTTTCATCCAGAATTAATTGTAAGAGTTATTCAAATTATGGCACAGCTCGATAATGACGAAACAAAGATTAAATTTCTTCAAAATAAATTTGAAAGTCTTTTCGACTTTTGGTATAAATTCGTGATTCCAGAGTTAAAACAGTACATCCAAAAAAATAAAGATGCTGTAAAATTAAATGAAATTTTTGGACTTTTATCGATTATTCAAAAGAATCAAAATATTGAAATTGTGAATTCAAAAGTCAAAAATGAGTTTCTTGATACAAACTTAAATATAATTTCTACAAATTCACCAAAACTTTTACTCAACGATATTCTCAAACAATTTCTTGAAAAGTATGGAATTTTACTTGATTCACAAAACTTATTTATTAAACCAGGAAAGCTTAAGAATGAGCGATTAATGAACAACTTTAATCACATTTGTTTTAAACATTCAAAATTAAATATTATTTTTGATTGTTCAAGAGAAATTCCAAAAAATTTGTGTAAAAGTGTTTTTAAAAAAGATCATAGCTTTACTTTTGTAATAACAAATGAAAAACAAAATGCAGAACTAGTTAAATTAATGCAATTAGAAGCATTGCCTCAAAATGAAATTAATTATAAACTTGAAGATCTAACTGAACAAAGTCAGATGATAATTCTTAATACTGAAATTAATTTTCAAAATAATTTTAAATGTACTTTAAATGATATGCTTCAAAATCTGACACAAACAAAGAAAATTGAAGTTAGAAATCACGAAAATATATTGATTAGTTGCCTTCGTGACATAATTGATGATGAACTTTTCATTTTGTTGGTTAATCAAGAAGCTTTTTCAATCAATCAAGAAATTGAAAATTTATTGTCAGAAAAATCTTTCGAATTTTTATATCAAACAAGAAATTTAATTTTGGAAGAAAAAAAAGATTTAGTTTCTCAAGATGAGATTTTATCATTAATTCATAATAAGCATTATATTCTTATGTCAGACACGGCTGGTAGTGGTAAAAGTTGGACGATGAAGAACTTTCGAAATATTTTAGGGTTAAAAAATCCAACAAACTGGATTTCTTTTGTCGATTTGAAAGGATTTGTTAAAGATTTCAAAAAAGTAGAGAGCCTTCCAGAATTTTCAACTTTTATGTCTGAAAACTTTTTAAAATCCAAGCAAAATTTCGAAAAACAAATTTTTCAAAAGTTTTATAAAACTGGAAAAGCTTTCATATTTTTTGATGGATTTGACGAAATTGCGCCCGATTATGCGATAATTGTCTTAAGGTTAGCAGAGTCAATCAAGTTTAATGAGGGGAATCAATTGTGGATTTCCACACGAAATTATTTTACAATTGATTTGCAAAATGAAATCAAGTTTGATTTATGTTTTAGTCTTTGTAACTTTACAGAAGAAGATGGAATTAACATGATAGTTTCAAGTTGGATATTAAAAGATATACAGAATAAAATTTTAATTAATTCAAAAGATGAATTTATTGCTTATGTCAAGAATAGCCCATCTTATAAAAGCTATCAAAAAACAGCAAAAGAAATCATTAATAAAATAGCAATGACTGAATATCGTTCAGTTGGATTGCCGCAATTATTCAATATGGTTGCTGAAATATTTAAAAATAGCACAAATCAATTGCTTGACATTAATAATTTTAAAATTTACGAAATATTTGTACAAAATTTATATAAACGATGGGCAGAAGAAAAGGGTCAACTTAGGAAAAAGGCAAATACAGAAAGTCAACGTTATGAGCAAAACTTTTGGAAATTTCATCAGTATATGGCAATAAAAATCTTATTTCCTGAGCTTGTAATAATCTTCTTTAAAAAATATAATGGAAAGGAATGGTCGGACGAGGAAATAATTGCTTGTGGAATAATTGGTAAAAATCCAAATTATTATTTTTTGCATAAAACATTTTGTGAGTTTTTTGTTGCTGATTTAATTGTAAAAGCTATAAAAGATGATAAGTTAAATCAACCATTTATTAAACTAATTATAAAGGTTCTTACAGTTAAGAAGTTTGAGGTCATTTGTATGTTTTTGAATGATGCTATCGTCAGTTCCGTTTTGTTAAAAGTTCATGATAAAATGTTAAATGTTTTTAATTATTCTCTTATAATCTTCGAAAAAGATGTAAATTTGAGTTTATTTTTTACAAAAAATCTTGATAATTTAGTAGATTCTTTTCTGAAGTTGCTTGAATCTTCTGATTATAAAATAGTTCGAAGTATTCTGAATAAAAATGTTTGGGATGTTGTTGAGAACACAAAAGTAAAAAAGATGTTTTTTAAATTTCAAAATTTTATTTTTAATTTTTTAACAGAAGAAGATTTAAAACTTTTGATCCTTAAAAACGGAGTTTTTCTTGGTTTAATTGGATCAAGTAAAGATATTAAGATTTTTGAAACTTTTGTGACGCAAATTGAAGAAAAATTCGGTAATGAGCTTGTAAAGGAATGTCTAATGCAATTCAGCAATGAAAGATGGAAAGGAAATATCTTTTACTTCCTTTGCACGTCACCAAATTTAAATAAATATAAATTTTTGAAACTTATAGAAATCATGCAAAAATTCCTTAAAGTCGATCAGATTTTTGAATTAATACAAAATTGCAATCAATATGGACATGGATTAATAAGAACTTATGTCGGACGAGGAAAAAAGGAAAACATTGAAATGTTATGGACACAGACAGAGAAGTTTTTTGAATCTAAAGAAAATTTCATTGAATTCCTAACTGAACCAGATAGTTATAAAAAGAATCTATTGCATAGTGCTGTAGTTTGGAAAATTGACTTTCAAGAGATATTTTGGGGGTTGATTTTGAAAACATTTGATAACTTACAAGATTTAAAAGCTTTTATTTTGCAAAGAGATGAGTGGGGAAAGAGCTTCCTTCATTACCTTGTAGAGCATAACAAGAATCCAAATGTTTTTGAGTTCATTTTTAAAAAAATTAAAGACAATTTTAACGAAAATGAACATAAAGAAATTTTGACATCAAATGGATGTAAGGAAATGAGTTTATTGCAAACTGCTATGTGGAGATCGGACGTGATTCAAATTCATCATTTATTATGGAAAGTTTATCAAGATTCATTTACTTTAAATGATGAATTTTTAAGCGTAATCAGAAAATTCGATGAAAAATATTTTTGGAACTGCAGCAAAGCATTCATCCCTTGAAGTATTTAAACTTTTAATTGATAATGTTGAGAAATTTGCTGGCCATGATGAAATGATCGAATTATTAAGCAATATGAGTACACAAAATCAAAGTATTTTACATATTGCAGCACAGCACAATGAATCATTTGAGGTTCATCAGAGCTTATGGAATCTATTCCGTAAATATTTTAAAGATAATCGAATTTTAGATTTTGTTAAAATAATTGAAGAAATTGATGTAAATGGAAGGGATTACTATCTTAATGCTATGAAGTTTAATACACCAAAAGTGGTGGATTTCATAAGAAATGAAGTAAAAGTTTTGGTGAAAGAATGCGAACAAATTCAAAATAAATTAGAAGTTTAATGTTTGAAAAATGAAATGTGATTTTTAAAAATTAATAAAATATTTTGTAGTTCTTGAAAATAATAAAAATGCTTAATTATTAAATTATTAAAATGCTTACCAAAAACAGAGCTTTGGTCCTGTCTCAAAATCCAATATAAAGGGGCAGGCACAGAGCCAGGGGAAATTTGGATTATGAAAAAAATCAAATTCCTGGTTTCGCCCCTGCAATATGACTATAATCATCCTTGCTACGCTCCTAACATAAATCTACCAAACAATTACTTTAACATAAAGACTTATTTTCTAAAGAACCCACAACAAATCACAAAAAGATCAAAATCAATTAATTTTCCTCAACTTGCCGAGTCAAAAAAGTCACATCCATTATGACTTACACAATTGTCAAATGTCACAACTACTTTTCACTTTCAATTCTTCTTTCACATCACTTTCTTACCTTATACACAAGAAACATTAAGCGTCACCTTTATTTTTTTTCTGTTACGACAACCTTTCTGTCATTTTGACTTTTCAACTTGAGGCTACAAAAAAAGTCTTCTTCTTGTTCCAATTATTCCTTCAACAGGCAAAAGTTTTGCGTAGGAAGAAGAGTGAAAAGTCAAACAATATTATGATAAATAACAAAACAAATTTAATAAAGGAGAAGTGAGAGAAGTCGTAAGTCGATAAGGAACACTCAACAATCAATCAATTTATTTCGTATTAAATAATACAAAGTAATAAAGTTTGTCATTCCCCTTGTGTAAATTAAGTGCTTTAATGGACCAAGGGCGTGAAACTATGAGCTCGTTCTATGTATAAAGGTTAGGCAGGTAAACATTTGGGACACATACTAGGGTAATCCGTCGAAATTTGAGAGCTTTTATTGTGTAATTAAACAAGTTTTGATTGTCTACAGCAGTGTTGTCCAAACTTTTTTCAACCACGACACAATTTAACTTAAGATATTTTTCCACGGCATTCCTAAGGATGTCTTACAGCATATAAGTGTGCCAAGGCACACAGTTTGGACAACACTGGTCTACATTAGTGTTTTTCAAACTTTTATGATCCAAGGCATATTTTTTTAAATAAATTTTTTTACAGCACACCTGAAAAGTCTTCGCGGCACGCAGTTTGAGAATCACTGGTTTATCAGCCTTCAAGAGTTTCAGGTTGTCCAGATTCCTTCAATACATAAAAAACTTTAGTTCCTTCACTTCCAGAACATAAACAACTCTTCTGTATGAATCCAGCAACATCACCAAAATCTAATAAACATCACCACAAGGTAAGCAAGCTTTCCATCACAAAAGTCCAACAAAAACATTCTTTTTTCTCCCTCGGCTAATTTATTTATGATTCGCACCATTCATCTCCATTTCCATCAATTTTTCTCGAGGTGTAAAAGTGAAAATAAATTTTTTTTTATTCGACTTCTGATTGGCAATTTGGGATGCTGACGATAATGTGAATATAAATTTCGACACATTTCATGGGAGTTATTATTTGCTGCTATCAATTGATACCTGTTACACAATTTTAACTTGATTCACGTTACGAAAGCAATTTGATGATGCTGAACAATTCAATATCCGGTGTATGAGGATGACTGCGATGATAGCGAAACGGTAATGATTTAATCCGATTGAATTGCACAAATTAACAACTCTCAATAGGACAGTTTAACTTTTTTTGTGTGTGTGCAATTCAGTCGTACCATTTACGTGCTCATGCATATTCGCTGTAAATGCGACATAATAATGATTGAGGTAATTTTAAAAATCCACATCCACATTTTCAAATAAATCTGGTGTTTTTGGCGGGTAATTCCATGGTGAAAATTTTTATCGCTTTCTTTTTCATAATCATGGCTGGAAAACAGGAGAGAGAAACTTTTTTACCATCAGCTTTGCATTATTAAAGATTTTTTTTCAACACCATAAATCTTATGTGTGTGAACCTTCACATCCAATTTATCAGCCGTTTGTTCATGTGCCAAAAAAGAAATTTTTTGCCTCTTCCCACTTCTTTCCTTCTTATATTTATGTGAGTATTGCTGCATAGAGTGGTGTAAGTGATTAATATTTTTTTAATTTGGTGTTTGAAGCGCACAGCTGGATGTGCATTTTATGTCATAATGCAATAAAAAGAGTCAGAGTTTTTAAAGAACCTGAGCCATTTGTTGGTGAATCTGCCAGGACGAAAGTAGTTCGTTGACGCTGCTGAGTGGCTAGACAACATATATGATATCTCCATTATTCTTCTTTGAAGGCATGAGTTTGATTCCTATCAAAATTCAATTATTATTTCATAGAATGTAGTCAAGGAGTCAGTTTGATAAGGCTTAACAATGCTCACGACATTACAGCTGAACTTATTTGTACTGTTAATTTTTGGATCAATGGAATAATAGCTAAGCCGGTTTATAAGGCTTGGAGTATCATAGAGCATTTTAGGGCATCTTAGGTTCGAAAACATGTTGAGGTCAATTACTATAAGTAAAGGAAACTCTCACGTGTCAAAGTAATCAGTTACTCATCATGTAATGTTCCCCTAGTGACGTGCGATCCTATCTTTAGAGCTAGTTTATAGATATATTTACTTAATTATTTGCTTTGCTAATAGGCATGTCAGCCTATCACTGGCTTTTAAATCATTTGAAGGCTGTTCTATTCTATTAAACCTTCTGCTACATGATTAGACCAAACATGATTATTAAACTCATGAATAAGAGCTCTACAGCTCTCATGATTCAACATTAATTACAGATCCTAGCGCCTTTCATATCTTAACAGGTGTATTCAAGAACCTTTAAAACTCAAACTAGAAACATGACAATCAGCATTCGACTATAACACATTACAAAGAAAAACCAGCTAAAATAGCAACAAAATAAAATAGTCTTTTTACAGCACAGTAAGTAAGCTTGAAACAAACAGAGCATGAGAAAGTGAATAAAATAAAAAGAAATCACAGAAAAAAGGATTCAAAAGAGATTGTCGTGCGAATACAATATTTACCTGAATATAAGCCTCGATATGCCTCCAACAATTTACCTCGTTCGCTCATCACCACTAAATGGAAAAATTTCTTCTTCAGTTTTTTTTTGTTGCTTCCATTGTCTCTTCTTTTTTGTTATTTTCTCAAGCATAAGCATATAACGAGCAGTGAGGAAAATTATTATTAGATTTTCTCGAGGTATCAACATCATGCATTACAGTGTGCCATAAATAAAATCAACAACAGAACTCTGTGTTTTGTTTTGCCTTTTTTCCTTTTTCATTCTTCCTTTACATTATTGCTAATATTGCTCTAGGCGTCATTCCGTTTGCCATTGTACTCAAAAAGGCATCATCATCATCATCAACAACAACAACAACACCATTAGACAAGGTCGTGAGACACGAGGAAGCACGTTAAAAACTAATTAAACCAATTTTTTTCGTGTGTCATTTTTCATCATTTATTGAATAATTGAAAAAGAATTATGTTGTTAGGAAATTTGAAGCTTGACATGAAGAAGCACGAAGCAGAAAACAACATGATTTTGAAACATACCCTAGCGAGACTAACTAGCAAATTGCTAGTCTTTCTATTCTACAACTTGCAATTTACTAGTTATTATTAAAACAACTTACTGTTAATAAATTACACTTGCTATTTACTAGCAAATTACTAGCAAATTACCATGTAAAATGTTTGATCAAATCTGCTTAAGTTCGAATCTTACGAAAAATCATCAAAAAAAGAATTTTTTGTGTCATAAAAAATTTTGTTCTAAATTTGGCATTTGCCATATACTTCACAAGAGCGCGCAGAAATCACCTTTATAAGGTCGATCCAAATTTGGATGTGACTTTCAATTAATTATTTATCTTCCTCAGGTTTGCGTGCGAGTCATGGGCGTTCATCACTATTCGACTTAATTAAATTAAGTCTTTTATTTATTTTTCATAGTGTTAGTGTACTTTAATTAACTTTAAATAAGTACACACTAATACTTTTACAATAATTTACACAAATAAGAAAAATCAAAAAAACACGTGGAAATCAACGGTTATATTCATTTAAATTTTTTACAAATTTACTAGTAAATTACTAGTTAAATTGTAAGCGAATCGACTAGTCAATTAGCAAGTGAAAATGCGGGTCTTTGGCGATGATTTGAACTTGGATTTTGACTAGTAAATAGCAAGTAGCAAATGGAAAGTTATCCAGTAAATTACTGGGAAATTACTAGTAAATTTCTGCTAGGGATATTGGAAGTCAGGAATTCTCTTGTGTGCTTTATGATCAAATTTCGTGAAATATGTAGCGAGTGAGTTGAATTGTGTTGAGGGAACTTAGATGTGAAATTTAATTTAAAGTGATTGACCTGTGATGGAGTGGAAGTGAGAATTGATTGAGTTATGGAATTCATTGGAGTTTGGGGATTGTGGAAGAATTTGGATAGAATGAGTTACTGCTATTGGAATTTTGAATGTTTTGGATGGTTTCAACATTTTTTTCTGTCAACTTATAATAGTCGAATTGATATCAAGAGTGTGGTACTGATAAAATCAAAAATGATCAAAATTGTTCAAAAATGATCAAAATAAAATTCTTTAGTTCCACACCCTTGATTGATATCAAGGATCTGGAACTGATTAAAATGATCAAAATATAATATATAGTTCCACACCCTTGAATGGCATCCGCAGGGAGGGGAGTCAGTTCAAACAATTTATGTTTATCGTGGATCAACAGATGTCACTTGCAGCCTTGATTGTCTCAGCCTTTTGCTTCATCACAACTTAATTATTCAACTTCTTTGTTTTTCACACATATTTTTAGTACATTTTAGAACAAGCACTTATTTCAAATATTTTTTATCCGTTACTCCTTTATTCTATCAATTTGTGCTACAATCCATTATATTTGATATGTTAAATTTAATAATTTTTTGTTAGCTAATTCAACCAGATTTGGTCAATAAAAACATAAAGTCTAATCTAATCTATGACTACGTATCTAGA